AGTATTCGAGCAACTGAAATAACAGAGGATTTAGTGAAAGAAGGAGTACTAACTTATATAGATCCTGTGGTGACTGACGTAAGTCTTAATTCAAATAATACTATAGGGAATTTATCGGAAAAAAAAAGTAGGCTAAACGGCCATGTCCAAGACCACAATGATCCGGTATAACTGTCCCTATTTTAAACCACTGACCAGAGGAAATGCAGACAACCAGTAGTACCCACCGCCAGAAGGCACGCTTTGTTCAAGAATTGTTTGATAGCACAGAAAATAATTTTTTTTTGCTGAAGTAGAGACTTGTTATGGATTCAAACTTGAACTTGTTAGTGTACAAGAAATTATATTATGTTCTGGTTTGTATTTCACACATTGACTATCTCAATTAGCACCGAACGGCTTGTTCTAACAAGACTTTCAGTGCTAATAGAGGTAGTCATGGTGTGAACTACAGGACAGAACAAGATTTTCATGCTAATAGAGGTAGTCATGGTGCAAAATACGAGACAAAACAAGACGTTCCGTGCTAATAGAGGTAGTCATGGCGTGAACTACGAACCATGGTTTGTAATTCACACCATGACTACCTCTATTAGCACGGAACGTCTTGTTTTGTCTCGTAGTTTACACCATGACTACCTCTATTAGCATGAAAATCTTGTTCTGTCTTGTAGTACACACCATGGCTACCTCTATTAGCAATGAAAGTCTTGTTATGGTTTGTACTTTACACCATGACTATCACTTGCAGATTAATAGGACTATTTGAATATATTAAAAGATTATAGACCTTTCACATCATCCAATGTTGATTACAAGATTTTGACTCAATAATAGGATAACAAGAGTACTAGATAGATTAGTCACGTCATCACAACCTGGTGGTATACATGGACGAGATATTTACTTTAATATTAATATGGTAAGAGACATTATGTGTCTCTCAAGTAACGGCAGTTCTCCTACATGTGATCAGGAAGTAACATTTGACATAGTTCATGAATTTGTATTTATGTCCTAAACAAATATGGATTTCTCAAAGAATGTGGATGAAAATAATTTGCACAAACTTTATATCTAAAGTAGAAACATTTTATGTGAGGTCAGGAATGAGACAGGGCTGTCCCTTATCCCCTACTTAATATGTTCTTATCTTAGAATGTTTTTATGAAGTGTACAGCCTACAGTTAGTGTTCTTAGAAACCTTTCTAAGTACAGCTGCCATTTTCCTACAGTTAGTGTTTTTAGAAACCTTTCTAAGTACAGCTGCCATTTTCCTACAGTTAGTGTTTTTAGAAACCTTTCTAAGTACAGCTGCCATTTTCCTACAGTTAGTGTTTTTAGACACCTTTCTAGTGTACAGTTAGTGTTTTTAGAAACCTTTCTAAGTACAGCTGCCATTTTCCTACAGTTAGTGTTTTTAGACACCTTTCTAGTGTACAGTTAGTGTTTTTATACACCTTTCTACGAACAGTTATCATTTCCCTACAGTTAGTGTTTTTAGACACCTTTCTACGAACAGTTATCATTTCCTTACAGTTAGGGTTTTTAGACACCTTTCTACGAACAGTTATCATTTTCCTACAGTTAGTGTTTTTAGACACCTTTCTACGAACAGTTATCATTTTCCTACAGTTAGTGTTTTTAGACACCTTTCTACGAACAGTTATCATTTTCCTACAGTTAGTGTTTTTAGACACCTTTCTACGAACAGTTATCATTTCCCTACAGTTAGTGTTTTTAGACACCTTTCTACGAACAGTTATTATTTTCCTACAGTTAGTGTTTATATGTCTCTCAGCACATATTATGTCTTCATTATGGAATGTATTTCGAAAGTCTGTTTATTTCTTTTAGATGTTGAAATTAAGAGTGAAGTTCACTACAAAACTATAATACTGTTGTTTAATTCAACTTTACCAAAGATCCATTGTTACATTACAAGAACAGAATGTTGTATTTTGTTAAAGATACCTTCTGAAAATCGACGCCAAGATGGCGGATTGTTCAGGGCAACAGTTAATTGTAACAGGACGTATACAAAGGCATAATCAATATGTTCCACACAACTACAAAAACAAAGTACTTTCAATATCTAAAAAAATAAATATATTTATTTATATACATAGTTATAAGTTAAATACTTTATCTCTCAACGATACCTCATTAATGACATTTAGTGGAGCTCAAATAACTCAGAACAATTTGAATAAGTTAAACTTATGTGGGAAATGAACGGGTTTTGTGTTTTCTACACACATCCAGTCTGAAAGTAAATTCTTTATTTCTGGAGTTTATACGTAAAAGAAACAAGAAAACAGCCTAAGTTTTCACTGTCCTGAATATTTTCTCATATAACAAAAGTTGCAGACATTTGTATTAGAAGGTGCAATGGGTTTCATCCACTTGTACAGAAACAAAGTATCAAGATGTCGGCGTCTTTTACTCTGTCATGACTGAGCATTTATGGTGTGTTGGTGTTAATCATTGGCTTTAGAAGGTTGGCGTTGGAAACGCCTTCTTTCACTTACATAAGTTTACTTTTTATCACGAAAATCTGATTACTTGTCCTTAAGGTCGTTACAATGGATTATAATACGTGGATGAAACATATTGTATCTTCAAAGAACAAATAACACAGACCAGTGACTCTCAAGCAGTGGCACGCGTACCATTGGTGGTACTTGGGGTTAATGTTGATAGTGCGTGAAAAATTAATGGGGGAATTATAAAATTTGTAATATGCCCAAATCTCGCGCACATGTACACACTACTCTTCTTATATATAGACTCGCTCTCCACGTGTGTAGATTCGTCAGTGCTTTATTCAATTCATATTGACAAAAATTGCACCCCTTATTCTTCAATTGTGCCAGAGAAACATCATATTTCTCTCATTAATGGGTATGTGTTAAAATACTGATTTTTTTCCCTGTAGGTTCTTTTAAAATTAGACCACGAGTTTTTACTTCAAAAAAAGCTTAAATAAAAAGTGGTACACGAGTCTAAAAAACTTTGAGAACCAATGACATAAATAGAAACATAAAGTGAGGTTCGAACAATAGATCAGAGAGTAAGTTTGTAGTTAAAATATGGCGACGTGTATAAACCATAAAAGGCAACTGGTGTAGAATTTATGAGGCAGACATTATTTTAGCTGTGATTTGACTGTGGATGACGAATCACGTGAAATCAGGTATGTTTTTGTTTGGAGTTTATGGGCGAGCAGAAATAGTTCCCTCTTCTTTAAAAGGTGAAACTAGGTGTGCTGTTGTTTCGAGTTTAAGGTGAGAAGTAATAGATTCCTCTACTTTAAAAGATGAGACTAGGCTGTTGTTGTTTGGAGTTTAAGGTGAGAAGTAATAGATTCCTCTACTTTAAAAGATGAGACTAGGCTGTTGTTGTTTGGAGTTTAAGGTGAGAAGTAATAGATTCCTCTACTTTAAAAGATGAGACTAGGTGTGTTGGTGTTTGGAGTTTAAGGTGAGAAGTAATAGATTCCTCTACTTTAAAAGATGAGACTAGGTGTGTTATTGTTTGGAGTTTATGGGCGAGCAGAAATAATTCCCTCCACTTTAAAAGATGACACTAGGTGTGTTGGTGTTTGGAGTTTAAGGTGAGAAGTAATAGATTCCTCTACTTTAAAAGATGAGACTAGGCTGTTGTTGTTTGGAGTTTAAGGTGAGCAGTAATAGATTCCTCTATTTTAAAAGGTGAGACTAGGTGTGTTGTTGTTTGGAATTTAAGGTAAGCAGGAATAGTTCCCTCCACTGTAAAAGATGAGACTAGGTGTGTTGGTGTTTGGAGTTTAAGGTGAGCAGGAATAGTTCCCTCCACTTTAAAAGGTGAGACTAGGTGTGTTGTTGTTTGGAGTTTAAAGTGAGCAGAAATAGTTCCCTCTACTTTAAAAGGTGAGACCAGGTGTGTTGGAGTTTAAGGGTGAGCAGGAGTAGTTTCCTCTAGTTTAAAAGTTTATGTTTGAAACAGTTCCAGACACATTGAGTACGTATATATATATATGTACTTGGCTTACGTGTGTACACAAATCAAAACACTTCACCTTTAAAACCGAAAGCTAGAGTAATTCAAAGTTTTAACTTTAAAATATTTGAAGCTGTAGAATAACTCTAAACATCAAAGGTAGTAGTAACGAAAAAAATAATAATTGTGAAAAAGCAAAATCAATGATCTCCCAATTCATTTCGAATTCGCACTGAGAAGGAAGATATTTTCATATCATCTTATGACGTCTTCCAGTTTCCAAAGAAAAGAATTCCTGTACATAGCTTGAACGAAGGTTGTCAAGATTACCAATCTATATTGACTTCAACTGGACAACACGTAAGTTACAGTTAGACTACTGAGCAAGATCAGAGAAACGAAAAGACCACGTTTTTCTGTTACCACAGTACAATTGGCACAACATGTACACCATAGATTTAAAACACTAAACACGAGACGTTCTTGGTTGATGTAAAGGTTCAATATAGGTTACAACATACGACATTTTATGAATGGTTCGTATCCTGTGTAGTTTTGCGTCGACTCAAAGAAAAGAAAATCGACGAAATGAAGTTATGCACGACAAAAATGTACGATATTAAAACACTTACAACTCCTTATTACACTTGCTACTAAACCGTCGAACAAAGAGCCATATTTTCACCATTCTCATGCTTGAAATCAAGTTTCTTATATTTCTTCATAAGATAGGTGGATCAGTACACTAGATTGAAGAGTACGAACATCAACGGAAATAAGATCCGGGATATGACGTCAAGTTTCTTACATTTATTCACAAGGTAGGTGGATCAGTACACTAGATTGAAGAGTACGAACATCAACGGAAATAAGATCCGGGATATGACGTCAAGTTTCTTACATTTATTCGCAAGGTAGGTGGACCAATACTCTAGATTGAAGAGTACGAACATCGAAGAAATGTAAGAAACTTGATTGACGTCATGTCCCGGATCTTATTTCCGTTACAAGATAGGTGGATCAGTACACTAGATTGAAGAGTACTAACATCAACGGAAATAAGATCCGGGACATGACGTCAATCAAGTTTCTTACATTTCTTCATGGCGCAGAAGATAAGTAGACCAGTACACTAGATTGAAAAGTGCGAACATCAAAGGAAATAAGATCCGGGACATGACGTCAATTCGCTTTGAGCGAGTTGGAAATTTGTTGAGCCAATCCTTTAATGGGTTGATGCTTTTAGACGTCTGCATGTGAACCTCACAGTGACGTAGTTTTTCATTGTGAACACCGCCACGATGATGTACTAATGGCTTCTGAAAAATTCAAGACACATATTAAGTCAAATAGAAGATACTTGAAAGCTAATTTAAAAACTGATAAAAGATCCAAATAACTATATAAAGTGAAACAGAAATCTTCAAATCTAAAATAGAACAACAAAAGACATATTTCAAAACATATTAATATAGAAATATAACTTTAAAACTATTAAAGAAAACCGAACACCAAACAAATAAAGAAAGTTGAAAGAAATAATACATAATAACTAAAGAAGTAAAAACTTAAGGAGAAGAACTGAACATGAATTTAAAAACTGAAAGATATAATATGATAATTACGAGAATTCTAAGATATAATAAATATATAATTAAAAAAAAAAACTTGAAAATAAATATTTAATTTTGTTTGTTTTGAATTTCGCGCGCAAAGCTACGTCTGCGCTAGCCATCCCTAATTTAGCAGTGTAAGACTAGAGGGAACTCTTGGGCTACTCTTTTACCAACGAACAGTGGGATTGATCGTCATATTATAACGCCCCACGGCTGAAAGGGCGAGCATGTTTGGTGTGATGGGGATTAGAACCCGCGACCCTCAGATTGCCAGTCGAGCACCTTAACCACCTGGCCATGCCGGGCCTATTTAATTTTAAAGTCTGAAAAAGTTAACTTGAAAATTAAGGAATTCTAAGACACAGTAACTAAATAATTGAACAAATAAAAAACTTAAAATAGAAATATCTAATAATTAATTTAAAATGTGAAAAATATACAAATAATTATTAAAATACGATGAAACTTAAATTTTATAGAATTTAATGATTAAAGAAAATATAAAACTGGTATTATAATAAAAATAATAAACTTGAAGCAAGCTAATTATAAAGAAAAATGGATCGAACGACAACGTAGACTTGAAACAGAACATAGAGAATGTGGAAAACATGAAACTCTTAAAACCAACACATGACTGAATGTTAGCCATAATAAAAACATTGAAAATGTTAAGTTTAGATGCTTAGACCACACCATGGCAAAAGTAGTGGCTCCATCCTCGAGATGATCAGGCTCCAGTCCAATAGAATGTTCAACATCCCACTTTCGCTGAGCTTTGGGGGCCTGGCGAAGCTGACTCCTGGAAGCGTAGTTCACAAGGGCGAACTCCAGAAGGGCACCAAATACAAAGGTGAGACATACACCGGTCCACACATCAATAGCTTTGGTGTAGGAGACAGGAGGAAGTGATGCATTGATACCAGAAGTTTGTGTCGCCATAGTGAGCAGAGTGGTGACTCCGAGGGAAACACGAGCTGGGATTGCATTTTGGTCTAACCAAAAGGAAACCCACGATACAATGACCAGCATACAGCAAGGAATGTATATCTGGATCAGGTAATAGCTGAATTGTCTTTTGAAAACTAAATCCACCTTCAAGCAACTATATTCACCTGTCAAGAAATACCAAACACAAAACAAACAAAAACAATTAATATATCATAAAGTTTGTAAGCCAGATAAAAATATTGACCTCATAGTTGTTTTTTTATTTAATTTAATTTTAATAAAGTGAATGAACGTGTAGGAATAACAACGGAGGACAAATAATTAGTCTGCATTATTTTCTATGAACATTAAAGTCTTTAATCTGTTAATGGAAAAACATACAGTCAGCATGAAACTTTTAACAACTAAACTAAGCTCAACCCAAACTAAAATTAGGGATTACTGTTCCCAAGTGACGAATCAAATTATTCTAATCATTACAGGTAAGAAGGATATATTTAATTAGCTGGTTAATTTTGAGTTCTGGTCCATGTAAATACTTTAATAATAATTACATAACACAACTCACAATCGACATAACGAAGATACAGGAATAACAATAAACATAGGTCAGTCTGTTGGGTGGTATTTCAAATTTTACACCACGTATCGGGATTAGTTTTACTGGTAGAGCAGTTTTATAGCACGTAGTTGTGTTAGTTTAACTGGTTCAGTAGTATTACAACGTGTCAAAGTTTACTTATATTTACACAATAGGTTTAAAGCACGTAGCTGTGTTAGTTTTACTAGTGTGTTATAACAGGTACCTGTGTGTTAGTGTTAGTGGTAGAATTGTTTTCACGGCACGTACCTGTGTTAGTTTTACTTGTGTGTTACAACAGGTACCTGTGTGTTAGTGGTAGAATTGTTTTCACGGCACGTACCTGTGTTAGTTTTACTAGTGTGTTATAACAGGTACCTGTGTGTTAGTGGTAGAATTGTTTCACGGCACGTACCTGTGTTAGTTTTACTAGTGTGTTATAACAGGTACCTATGTGTTAGTGGTAGAATTGTTTTCACGGCACGAACCTGTGTTAGTTTTACTAGTGTGTTATAACAGGTACCTGTGTGTTAGTGTTAGAATTGTTTTCACGGCACGTACCTGTGTTAGTTTTACTAGTGTGTTACTACAGGTACCTGTGTGTTAGTGTTAGAATTGTTTTCACGGCACGTACCTGTGTTAGTTTTACTGGTACAGTAATCAGTTAGGTATTTTTCCAGAGTAAAGCGAGGAAGGTGAATGTTTTTCGAGACCTGGACAGGATCTCCTTCTTTCCATTCAAACGTAAGATCTTCTGTGGTATATCCATCTAATGGAAATAATTCAAAAGCAAAAGAGGAGGGTTGATGTAGAGGAAATACACCAAGAATGACTTGAAAACTTATGGATACAATTAGAGGAAATAATCCAATGGAAAAGGGAAGATTGCCGCACTGTATAAAAGAAATAAACCAAGAACAATATGAAAGTCGAAGACTACAACTAGAGGAAATAATATAAAAAGATGTAGCATGTAGAGTAAATACATCACGAATAATCTTACGATTTATTGATTTAATTACGTTTATTGAAAATAAACGAATGAAAAGAGGATGTGCATGTAAAGAAGAAATACAGCAGAAATAATTTTCTGATTCAATTATCTACATAACAGAATCCAGCCGAATAATAAATTATTTACGGTGTGTCCGGCGCAGGGATCGAACCGAAAATCTTAGCGTTAGAAACTCTCAAGTTTGTCGCTAAGAAACCAAAAGGCTCTAGTTAATGAATACGCCCTCAATTTCGGTTAAATGTACAAAGAATAGCAACAGAAAAAGCCATTTTTCAAGTTAAAATATTTGATTTGAAATATTGCAAGTTTTGGCTGTAAATATTGTTTGCTTATTGTTAAGCTCAGAGCTACACCAAAGGCTATCTGTGCTGTGTCCACCACGAATATCGAAGGTTCTTTTAGCGTTATAGACCAGCAGACTTGCCGCTGACCCACTGGAGGGCGGTTTTAAGTAAATATACCTTATAATCTACCTGTAAAATACACTGATAGAAATATTCTGTAATAATAAGAATCTTAGCTTACAGGTTGAAGTGAACAAATGAAAATTTGAAATATCCGAGGACAAATATTAGAACACTTAACGTAGAAGTATTTTATCTAGTGAAAATATTAGAACATTTAACGTAGAAGTGTTTTATCCAGTGAAAATATTAGAACATTTAACGTAGAAGTGTTTTATCCAGTGAAAATATTAGAACATTTAACGTAGAAGTATTTTATCTAGCGAAAATATTAGAACAATTAACGTAGAAGTGTTTTATCTAGTGAAAATATTAGAACACTTAACGTAGGAGTGTTTTATCCAGTGAAAATATTAGAACATTTAACGTAGAAGTGTTTTATCTAGCGAAAATATTAGAACATTTACCGTAGAAGTGTTTTATCCAGTGAAGATATTAGAACATTTAATGTAGAAGTGTTTTATCTGGGGAAAATATTAGAACACTTAACGTAGAAGTGTTACATATATAGCGAAAATATTAGAACAATTAACGTAGAAGTGTTTTGTCTAGTAAATACATTAGAATACTTAAAGTAGGAGTGTTTTATCTAGTGAAAATATTAGGACACTTAACGTAGAAGTGTTTTATCTAGTGAATACATTAGAACAATTAACGTAGAAGTGTTTTATCTAGTGAAAATATTAGAATACTTAACGTAGGAGTGTTTTATCTAGTGAAAATATTAGAACACTTAACGTAGGAGTGTTTTATCTAGTGAAAATATTAGAACACTTAACGTAGGAGTGTTTTATCTAGTGAAAATATTAGAACACTTAACGTAGGAATGTTTCTAGTGAAAATATTAGAACACTTAACGTAGGAGTGTTTTATCTAGTGAAAATATTAGAACACTTAACGTAGAAGTGTTTTATCTAGTGAATACATTAGAACAATTAACGTAGAAGTGTTTTATCTAGTGAAAATATTAGAATACGTAACGTAGAAATGTCTTATCTAATAAAATATTGAGGTGAGACTACCTTACCTGAGGAAAACTTTCAAATACTTGTGGTAAAACAGCTTTAATTAGTGAAAATTTTAATGTATTTAATATAAAACAACGTTAACTAACAATGTGGAAACGTTTAGAGTACGTTATGCGCATCTACTTTACCGAGTGAACGATATTAAAATATTTCACGTGAAACTACTTTTTGTAGAGAAAACTAAAATACATAGGTTTGAATTATTTAGAAAGTTTTATTTGGTTACTGTTGTGATAAAAACAAAGATAACACTACTATAGGAAACAGAAATAACAGGAGATATAGTTTGATTAATAATTAAAACTTCAATCGCTTTAGTTATCTTACCTATTAGTTTCTAGAAACAAATGAATCGAAACATAAGTTATTAGAGAAGAAAGCGTGTACTAAAGATATATTAAAACATACATACACCTTTTCTATATCAATATATATAAAATTTTAGCTCTATGTAATTAATTCTATTAACAACAGAAAATATACTAGTAATAACACTGTAATATTTGAAAAATGAAAACTTACAGCTGGCCATAACTATAGAACAGGTCTGCTTATCCAAGGGATAGTATTTGAGGTCCATAGGACAGGCCAATACCAAAGATATCCTGACAAAAAAAGTTTCTGTTTTTAAATCATGCTATTAAAAAACTGACAAAGAAACATTATCTGTAAAACACACCAACAAGTAATTGACAAAAAAACATTATCTGTAAAACACATTAACAAATAGCTAACAGAAACATTTGTAAAACATACTAACAAGTAACTGACAAAGAAACATTTGTAAAACACACTAACAAATAGCTGACAAAGAAACATTTGTAAAATACACTAACAATTAATTGACAAAGAAACATCTGTAAAACATACTAACAAATAGCTGACAAAGAAACATTATCTGTAAAACACACCAACAAGTATCTGACAAAGAAACATTTGTAAAACACACTAACAAGTAGTTAACAAAGAAACATTATCCGTAAAACATATTAACAAGTAACTGACAAAAAACATTGTCTGTAAAACACATCAACAAGTAATTGACAAAGAAACATTGTCTGTAAAACACATCAACAAGTAATTGACAAATAAACATCTGTAAAACACACCAAAAGTAACAGACAAAGAGACATTGTCTGTAAAACACACCAACAAGTAATTGACAAAGAAACATCTGTAAAACACACCAAAAGTAACAAAGAAACATTGTCTGTAAAACACACCAACAAGCTACTGAGTGAGAGAGTAAAGAATTTTCTTTTTTTTTACCAAGGTATTACAATAATGAAGTCGGCAGCTACACATATAGATTGATAGTAAATAGATAGTTACTCGGGTGTGATATAGGTTCCACAGATAAATATCAAGATAAGAAAAGATTCAGAAAATGGTAGAAAAATATCTCTCATTATATATTTTTTGGATTTCTATCTCTCTATTTCTGTCTTCTGTCTTTCTTTCTATTTACTTATTTATTTATCTGTCTGCCTACTACTCTTGTCTCTAACTATACATGCTTGTATGTATTGTGTACTTGCCAGTCTATATTTGTATTTATTTACGTGTCTCTAACTATACATGCTTGTATGTATTGTGTACTTGCCAGTTTATATTTGTATCGAGTTACGTGTCTCTAACTATACATGCTTGTATGTATTGTGTACTTGCCAGTCTGTATTTGTATCTATTTACGTGTCTCTAACTATACATGCTTGTATGTATTGTGTACTTGCCAGTTTATATTTGTATCTATTTACGTGTCTCTATCAATTAATTGCCTTATTAAGTGTATATTTCTAATCTACATATTAATAGATGAGAGATATATAGACCTATCTTCATCATGTATGTCGTAACGATCTAATTCACATAGTAGGTCAGTTTTATGCCAGTTTTGCGTAAAATAATTTAACGAATTATGTAGGAGTGTATGGGAGAGTGTTTGCATATTTATGCATAAATTCTGATGAAGTGGTTCTGGGTACTTTGTGTTCTGTAGTTAGTAAATGAGTTTTATATTGTTTGTAATTTGTTAATATGTTTTGATGCTATATCTATCCATGCTGGACATTCACATTCAATTATTGGTCTCATGTATGTTTGTAAATTTTGATTATGTTGTCTGCTGTGGTTTCGTAGTTTTTACCCGTTAGACTCCTACCATAACTTATGTGTTGCCAAACTTTTTTGAGAATATTATTTATGTGGTTAACCCACGTTAACTTAGAATCATAGGTTAATCCTAGAAATTTGGCTGAAGTTGTTGCCTGGAGAAATGTTCCATTCATATATAGTTTAGGTGGATCTTTTGTTATTGTGAAATTTGGCTGAAGTTGTTGTCTGGAGAAGTGTTCCATTCATATATAGTTTAGGTGGATCTTTTGTTTTTGTTCGTGTGTGCGCACTTTTCCAGACTGCAAAATCATCGGTAAATTGTGAGGAATAGAGACATGTTGCTAACATACATGATGAAAGGAATATCCTTGATTTGGATCTTTTAGGGACATGTTGCTAACATACATGATGAAAGGAATATCCTTGATTTTGATCTTTTAGAGACATGTTACTAACATACACGATGAAAGGAATATTCTTGATTTGGATCTTTTAGAGACATGCTGCTAACATACACGATGAAAGGAATATCGTTTATTTGGATCTTTTAGGGACATGTTGCTAACATACACGATGAAAGGAATATTCTTGATTTGGATCTTTTAGAGACATGTTGCTAACATACACGATGAAAGGAATATCGTTTATTTGGATCTTTTAGAGACATGCTGCTAACATACACGATGAAAGGAATATCGTTTATTTGGATCTTTTAGGGACATGTTGCTAACATACACGATGAAAGGAATAAGGTTTATTTGGATCTTTTAGGGGACATGTTGCTAACATACACGATGAAA